GTTATAGTTCGCGACCGCAATAAAAGGATACTAGGTACTACGGCTGTGGGGAAAGGGGCCATCTTCAATCCAGCTGCCCTAAGCGAACAATAGAAAGGGAAGGTAATCGATCTCGAGAGGGTAGTGCGGCTAACAGCACCGCCCAGCAGCAACAAGGAAACCGGCGGGTGCCGGCTGATATTAAAAGAGCCCCAAGGATCTCGATCTCACAATCCCATGATGGGAAATGTCTAATCGTCAAGGGCGAGGTCAACGGAATGCCGTGTAAACTGACCATAGACACTGGAGCCTCTCGTACGGTTGTTAGTTCCTAACTTATAAGTCAGTTCCTTGGGGACTCCGCATACAACCGAGAACGCATTAATTTGGTAACAGCCACCGGTCAGCGTATATCCGTCCATGGAAAGAAGGAGATGGAGTTGAAGAGGCAAAGTACTACCTACATAATATCATATATAATGGACGACTGCATCCTTGGCCTAGACTTTATGAGGGATAATTGTTATGGGATCGACGTTAAGAAAGGTGTTTTGAAATGTGGACAGGAGGAACTTTTTATGGAAGGTGCATTACCAGGGAACGTGTACAGCATTAAGAAGATTGTTCTTCCGTCGAGATCGGAAACGATTGTGCCGGTTAGTCTTCCTCGAAACGCTGGACAAGCTCACCGTTGTGTACTTGTGGAAAGGGTAAACAATGACCTTCCATAAAAAGGCACACTGGTTGGTACTTGTGAGGAAGTGGATTGGTTACGTCGGTGCCAATATCTATCAAGTGGGACCCCCAGCAATTCACAAACGAGAGTGACCACACTTTTGGAAGACTGTCGCAGCGTTCTCTCCCCGAACGAAATAGTCAAGGTGAAGAGGTTGTTACTCGAATACGCCGATGTAATCTCATCAAACGATACTGACATAGGAAACACAGGCTTAGTACAACACAAAATAAACACAGGAGAAGAATTGCCTATCCATCAGAGGCCAAGAAGATTGCCGGTAGCACGTGAAAAGGAAGTGGAAACCATGATTGAGGGAATGGTGAAGGATGGTGTTATTGAACCTTCATCTAGTCCATGGTGTTCACCCGTGGTGCTGGTAAAGAAGAAGGACAGCAGCATGCGGTTCTGTGTTGACTACCGCCACCTGAACGACGTTACAAAGAAGGGCAGCTATCCCTTGCCAAGAATTGATGACACGCTGGACATGCTTACAGGAGTAAATTGGTTTAGCACGCTGGATCTAAAAAGTGGCTACTAGAAAGTTGTAATTGATCCCAAGGACAAGGAGAAAATTGCGTTCTCGACGGGAAAGGGTCTGTGGCAATTTAAAGTAATGTCGTTTGGATTGTGCAATGCTCCAGCAACGTTTGAAAGGCTGATGGAGCTTGTAATTACCGGGCTAATTGGCGATGCCTGTCCGGTCTACTTGGATGACATTATCACCGTGGGCCGTACGTTTGAGGAACACCTTCAAAACCTGGAACACGTGCTCATGAAGATTCAGAGTGCCAACCTCAAGTTGAGTCCGAAGAAATGTTCACTATTCAAACGGCAAGTCAACTTTTTGGGGTATGTAGTGTCGGAAGAAGTTATCCGCACGGATCCGGAGAAAATCGCCGCTGTCAAAGATTGGCCGGTTCCAAAAGAGAAGACGCAGGTTAGAGCATTTTTGGGTTTGTGCTCCTATTATTCGGCGATTTGTGAAGAACTTTGCAGATATAGCCAAACATCTGCACAAGCTAACCGAGGAGAAGCGACATTTCTGCTGGGATGAAAGTTGCAATATCGCATTCCAGGAGCTCAAGAACCGTCTGTGCAAAACACCTATTTTGGGATACCCTGTTGCAAGCAAAGAATTTATAGTTGACACAGACGCAATTAGGCTTGGTGGTGTGTTGTCTCAACGGAATGGTGACCAAGAGGTCGTGATAGCGTACTTCAGCAAGTCGTCAAAACCGGTAAGGAACTATTGTGTCACAAAACGCAAATTCCTAGCTGTGGTAAAGTCGCTGCAGAATTTTAGCAAATATCTTCTGGGGCAGAAATTTCACTTACGAACTGACCATGCTGCTTTAAAATGGCTATTGCAGTTTAAAAATCCAAAAGGACAAGTTGCTAGGTAGATTGAACTACTGCAGGAATACGACTTTGAGATTGAACATCGCAGCGGGAAATCTCATGGCAACGCAGATGCACTGTCAAGAAGACCTTGTCCTGAAGATTTCAAACATTGTACTAGGCAAGAGAGTAAGGAAGTGGTATCCGTGAGGATGCTCAGGACAGACCACCTCAGCAACGAGTGGAAGGACAGCTTACAACATTCACAGCAGGAAGATCCGGACATCAAGCCGATTCTGCAATGGATGAAGGCCGGGGCTCCCAAGCCCAAGTGGAGCGACGTCTCAGCGATGAGTTCGACCACTAAAAGCTATTGGGCCCAGTGGGACAGCTTGCTTCTTCAGGAGTGAGGAGGAGGATGGAGTTCTGTGCCGTAAATGGGAAAATGTTCGGGGAGACAGCTGTCATTTGCAAATGGTTGTCCCTAAAGCTAAAGTAGCGGATGTTCTACAGCTGTACCGTAATGATTGTTCGGGAGGCCATCTGGGAGTTAAACGAACTCTTCTGAAGATCTGAGAACGGTTTACTGGGTCCTCTGTCGAGACGATGTCGAGGACTGGTGTCGCAAATGTATAAGCTATGCGGCTGTAAAGGGACCTCAGACTCGTAGTAGAGGTGCCTTGAAGTTGTACAATGTTGGTGCACCATGGGAGAGAATAGCCATTGACGTGGCGGGGCCGTTTCCGGAGAGTGAAAGCGGTAACAAGTATTTCATGGTTGTGATGGATTACTTCACTAAGTAGCCGGAAGTCTTCGCCATTCAAAATCAAGAAGCTTCAACAGTTGCAGATAAACTAGTTCATGAAGTCTTCTGTCGTTTTGGAGTACCTTTAGAGATTCACAGCGATCAAGGAAGGAATTTTGAGTCTCAAATATTCCAGGAAACTTGCCGAGTTATGGGTGTTCATAAAACAAGAAGCGACTTCTTATTACCCGCAATCTGATGGAATGGTAGAACGATTTAGTCAGACATTGGAGAGGTACCTAGCAAAAGTTGTAGACAACCGGCGACGTGATTGGGACAAGCACTTACAACCTTTTTTGTTGTCATATCGAAGTGCTGTTCACGAAAGTACATCAGTGACACCAGCTTTCGCAAACTTTGGAAGAGAATTACTGCTGCCTGCAGACCTGATCACCGGGGTACCACCTGATGTCCCACGTAGTATAACCGATTATGCAAATGACTTGCGGAACAAAATGAATGACATTTATGAGCACGTCAGACAATCGGGCCAGCAAATGTCTGAAAAGATGAAAACCCGGTATGACCGCAAAATGAACAACAACGTTCGACGAAGGTTCACTAGTGTGGTTGCACAATCCGGTCCGCAGCAAAGGGAAATCTCCTAAGCTTCAAGCTAAATGGGACGGCCCGTACCGGATTGTGACCAGGATCAACGATGTAACCTACCGGATACAGAAAGGCGCAAGAAGGACTCCTAAGATCGTCCATGTGGATCACCTGGCGCGTTATTATGGTGCCGATAATGCTCGGAACGAGCAAGTCTTAGGATGGGGAAGTGTTGCGCGCCTAAGTTGCCCTGCTGGTACCTGGTACTAGCGCTATCTAGTGTCGGGTAATAGAGCGAGGAGAGTTTTCCAGAAAATGCCATGACTAATCTTTCAACCAACAACGCCATCTAGTATCGAATTGAAGAACTAAGCTTTCTAGAAGCCCCACACTCGAACTTTCTGCGCCTGGTCGGTCGGGGCTCCTTATTTACTGGAATATTCTGGATGTTTTCGTGGAAGAACCCTATACAAAGCCGTTGATAGCCGCGATCGGGGCAGTATTGAATTTGACGAGACAAGCGAAGCTTCAGAGCGAAATAAAGTGAATCAGTGTGATTAATTATTAGTATCTTTGAAGTTTTAATTGGTGTTTGGTAATAAAAGTGTAAATTTTGGTAATTCAATCGGCAGTTTTTATTGTTACGAACCTCAAGCTCGTAACATTATTATTTCAAGAAACCATTTTGGCATTGTAAAAGGTTAGTCTACTTAAAACGTAACATTAATTCTAACTAAAATGTTCACAAAACATCTTGATCATAAGACGAAAGTTATAGGTGTTTTCCTTAATTTTGTAAAGGCCTTCGACATTGTCTCTATTCTCCTACTTCTTTATAAGTTGAAATTAATTCACGGACGAACTCCTTTCGATACTAATTTGTTGATTTAAATTATGCTCCGGATTATTGAAAGTTAATCCTACTAGTTTAAAGGTCCATTTGAGTTTGTAAGTGGTCGAGCCATGCAGCAGCTACATTATTGTTGTACCACGAATGGGTATGCTCGATAGGATCACGCTCTCAGAGAATACCAGCGTAAAAAAGCAGCTTAATGCCGTTGTGCTTTGTATGGTGACTGTAGACAACCAGATACCCTTTTTACCGGAAACAAGGCATTCGATCTTAGTCCTCAGTGTGACAGTACATCTGTATTTTGATTCTTAATCAAGAATAAATGTAGATTTCTATGGGTCACAGCATCCACTTCCCATCAAGTAGACCGTGTAATCATTTGTAATAAGGAATGAGGTTATTCTATAAAAAAATCGGATACGACCCTCTAGGCGTTGAACTCATGCATGCACTTGAACTTACTACTACCTACTACTTATAAGTATAAAATATCTATACTATTATACTTGAGTTTAAAAAGTGGTGCATCTTCTAAAATAATAATCAATAGGCCTAAGAAATAAAACTTCAAAACAAGTTACTAACAAACTTCTATGCGAACGAAGTCGCGGGCACGGATATTAATGACATAAACTAAAGGAAATGGTTTCGTATCACTTAAATGCAGTCCTTACAATTATTTCATTACTATGAATAATAAAATTGCTTAAGTATATCTTACGCAAAATTGTACTCACCAATATAATCTTGTCCTTGTTCTGCCATAACTTATTTAGGATGAATTCACCAAAATTTAAATCGGCTGGAACTGTGAGGTCATTGTCACCATAAACATAGTTAGAATTTTTTATCATTGTTCTGTACTAAACTCAACTGCGTACTCTGAATACGTAAACTAGAATGTAAAATGAGAATATAAACAATATCATACATTATAAGCTTTATCTAAAAGACATAAATGTTATCTCACATAATTTGTCGAAGATAATAAGAATGAATACTTTTTTCTTTGACCATTATAGATTATATTATTACATTAGAATTTATTTGACGTGATTAAAATTCTTTCTTTAACTTAAAAATTGAAAAGGCAATAAGAAAAAATTTCAAAGAAATATACTTAAAGTGTTTATGATAAGAGAGGAAAGAATATGCATGACTTCATAAAGTAGCAAAATCCGAATATACAAAATATTACAATTAGGCATCGATTCAGTAAAGTAAATCTACCCTATATATATTAAAAAATTAAATATTTATATAAAAATAAGCAGAAATACAGGTAAGGCTATGAAGGAAAAAATGCTACTTTGTACTTTCAACGGACTGGCAAACTATATTTCCCTACTTTCAATGCCATTCAGTTATTTAGATCACATTTGAAAAAAGCCTCGGTAGATATCTCTCCGATTACTCAGTGGCGGATTTACATATTTGCCGCCAGTAGGCTATTCAAATTTTGCCGCCCCTATTCTTCTACAAGTCGATAGTCTAGTCCACAATCATATGTATCACATTTGTTTGTCAATGAAATTGTAACTTTATGGCTTGTGCGCTATAGTCCTAACTACACCAACTTTTCGCTATAATTAGTATGATTGTGACCTCGGGGATCTATGTGTCAGTTCTTAGGCTATTTTACAACCCAAAGGTTTAGTTAAGGCTGCACAAGTAATAGTTTCTGGGTATATTTCCGAGCTAATAAAGATCAATCATTTACTACTAATAAGTCAGGGTAAGGTATGATTTAATGCTACTTACGGTAAAAGCATTTAAATATTTTTTATTGCGCTAATACTTTGAGAACAATGTATTCAATTTTGCGTGGTAGAGCCATGCTGCAGTTATATTATGGTTTTAGCATGAATGAGTTGGTTCGACCGGGAAAGGATCCCGCACTCACAGAATACCAGCGTAAAATAGCACCCAAAACTGCTGTTTCGTATGATGAGTGAAGAGAATCGGAAACCTTTTTACCGGAAACGAGACAATCCATCTTAGTCGTCAATGGTAACAACATATCAGCATTTTGCTGCATTCTTAATCGAGGATAAATTTAGATGTCTATAAGTCACAGCATCCACTCACCATTAGGTGGACTGTGTGCTCGTTTGTCATCATTATTCTATAAAAAAAGTTTGGTAACAATCTGGCTGATGATGATGATGAAATTCAATAAATTGAGTTATGAAAGTTTTGCAATACCGTCTTGCGCGAGTTTTTATTCGCAAATTCATTAACTGACTCTATGCACAGGAACCCTAAAGCATTTAGCTTTTTTTTTGCAAATGGTAAATCTTAGATAGTTTTTCACGCGTTTTAGCTAGAAATGCTTCTCTACTCGAACAATTTGTCCTTGGTGTACATAAAGCCATACGAACTGCTGCATCAAAGTTTTGATAAACGTTTTGAAAATTCTTTTTTCGCGAGAACGAAGATGGATTTTTCAATGATTCAGAATTAGGTTTAACTAAAATTCTTTGCGAAGAAAAAGGGCATTTAAAATGTATGTATTCTTGAACTAAATCGGTTTCTAAATCATAAGAATACATTTCTTCCACGAAAAGGGCTTTTTTCGCACTAGCTGTAGATAACAAATTATACATTTTCTTCAAAAATGAAAACTTCACTGAATCTGTTGTAGGCGTCCTGCCGTTTTTCTAATTCGGATACGAGTCTATCAATGAGAAAGAGAAATATGTTAACCCTGAAAATATCACTCGTAGTTATTTTTATTTCTTCATTTGATGTTTGATTTCTTTTTTTTCCTTTTAATTTTTTCCTATGTCTTTTGTATACTTCTTCGAACGCTTATCACTCTTTTCTTCGAAATACCTACTTACAATTTTCTCGTTCAGCTAAGAAAAACTTGCCAAAGATTCGTGAAAATCGATAACAGTGATCAAATCTACGGTAGAAACATGAATTTCAACATTCACTCTGTTTATCTTTGCAGAAAACATTCCACACAATAACCAATTAATAAAATACCCCCATTTTCAGTTTTTATAAATTCAAAAGTATTCCCGTCGCTTCGCTTTACGTTACAGGCTTTTCGGTACTATCATTCTCGATTAATTCCAAAGTTTTAAGGACCTCGTACCAAGAATCTCTAAACTTCCACATGCGTCCTCTCTAGCTGACCAAGGTGTCAGATTTACTCTCTTTAGCGTTTTCCGTTTCTCGATTTCAATTATTATTTTTTGCCAGCGTTGTCACTGCAGCTGAATTTAAAGAGCGGGCAGAGTAAGGAACAAAAAATGCTCTCATTTCCGAGATAATGGCAGAAAATATGTCTTTATCTATCTTTTTAAAGTTTTAATTTCTTTAATTTCTGTGAGTCATAAAAAAGTAGTAAGCTTTGACCACCTAATCCTAGGCCCACCCTACACGTGTCCCCCGGGTGGTGCTAAATGTGCGGCAAGCCGAAGGCACGGACTCGATTCCTCGCCGTGCTAGCGGCGTAAAATATACTACCTCATATTTCGCACCATGAGGAACCAAACAAAAGAAATGTCCCCGAGTTACCGGCGCCCCTTTAATGGGGCAGGGGTGCAAAGAATCTCCGGGAGGAAAACCGGCGACGAGGTTCGCCACCCGTCAAGTTCTTTCTCCCGGAAGGACGAAAAGTGGATTGCAGAGGCCCATCTGGCGTTGAATTTGAACGTTGAATGTATGTGGAGCAATGAATGATAAAATTGATAAAGTATGCGATATGATGTATGATAGAGGAATAGATGTGTTATGTGTTAAATGAGATGAAACGGAAGGGGAAGGATGTCACTACACATGGCATGTATACCGCATACTGGTCTGGTGTAGACGAGATTGAGCGGGCATGCCAGGGAGTAGGTATCATCCTTTAAGAAAGAATGGGCCAATGTGTGAAAGAGTTCGTGTAAGACTGCTATGGATACGAATGAAAGTGGGCTTAAAGAAGTTGTTTGTGCTAGGGATCTACGCCCCAGACATGTCTAAGCCCACTTATATCCCAGAGCAGTTTTGGGAAATGGTAAGGATGGTGTTAATGAAATGTAAGGGAAATTAAAATATTGTTTATGCTAGGAGATTTTAATGGAAGGGTTGAGGTGAGGTAGCTTGGTTATGAAAGGATATTGGGAACGTTTGGTGATGAAAGTATAAATGAGAATGGTGAAAGGCTCCTCACCGTATATGTATGGAAAATAATATTTTTGTGACGAACACTTTTCGCCACAAGAGGATTCACATGTATACTTGGGAAGGAGGTGATGTTAGAAGCATGATAGATTTCGTAATTGTGGATGAAAGAATGAGGGGCGCAGTGGTAGATACAAGGGGTCTAACGTAGGAACGGGTAATTATTTGGTTTTATGCCGAATTAATGGTCTATTCAGACGTTGGTGCCATCGGTCATCTGTGTCTACTGAAAGGTTACAAGAGGAAGGTGAGAAAAACAAGTTCAAATGTAGACTGAAAGAAAATATAAGTGGTTTGGATGAATTATGTATGAATGAGTTAGACTTGGAGAATATATGGCAAAATGTTAAGAAAGGTTTAGTGGATGCAACTACCGAAGTACGTGTTGTTAGTAAGAGAAAGGATGAAAGAAAAAATAATACGTTATGGTGGGATGATGAGATACGAATGGAAGTTGAAGCAGAGAAGAGAGCATGGCTAGATTTGTTAGCAACAAAGGCTGGTAATTCTAGCGGTACGAATAATGACATTGAAAGAAAAAAGGCAGTTTTTAGACATCTAAGTAAGAGAGTAAAAGAAGTAGTTGAAAGGGAAAAGCAATAAAGAACGGATAGAAGAATATCGGATAACTTCCAGGCAAATATTAAAATGTTCTGGAAACTCGTAAGAACTGCCAGGGGACATTCAAAACAGCCTTTAATGAATGCTATAAGAGATGAGAATGGCTATATTCTGAATGATGAAGTTTTGAGTTTAAAGAGATGGACGGAATATTTTGAAAGCGTGTTTATGAGTGACGAGCCAACGTATAAACTAAATGAAGTAGAAACTCCGAAAGAAGAGGAAAGAGGTAGCGAGATAAGTATAGATGAAATAATGAAAGCAATTAAAAGCATAAAAGCAGGTAAGACTGCCGGATATGATAGAGTTTCACTCGAAATGCTAAGGGCTGGAGAGGAAGTGGTGGCAGGTCTGCTGCACAGCTTGTTTAATTTATGCTGGGAACTGAAAAGGGTACCGGTAGACTGGTGCAAAGCCGTGATAGTCCCAGTATATAAAGGAAAAGGGTCGCAGCAGGACTGTAAAAACTACCGTGGTATTAGCCTTCTTAGCATTGTGGGAAAACTGTATGCTAAGGTACTGATTGAAAGGGTCATGAAAGAAACTGATGAAGAAATTTGGGATGTGCAAGCGGAATTTAGAAAGGGAATGGGATGTACAGATCAAGTCTTTTCCATGCGCATGATCGCGGAAAAGATTTTGGTCAAAATCCAAAAGGTATTTTGTGCGTTCATGGACTTGGAAAAGGCCTATGACAGAGTGAATAGGGACGTGCTATGGCAAACACTGAATTCATTTGTGTTGAACGCTGGCTTGATATAGGCATTGGAATCGATTTATAGGGACTCTAGTGCTTGTGTTAGGATCAACGGGGTCAACTCGGACTGGTTTGGCATCCATAAAGGTGTCAGACAGGGCTGTGTGGCTTCCCCGTAGCTGTTCAACCTATTTATGGACATTGTTTGCAAAATTTGAAAGTCGAAGAATGCGGATTAAGAATTGGTGAGTTAACCATCAAATGCCTT